GTTTTAGACTTCCACTTCAAGATTCTTGTATTTTGATAGTTTTTCGAAGTTCTTCAAAGATATATTACAGTCTGCAAGGACTGCCATGCCAATTAGAAAGCACATTCTGTTTTTGTGGTATCTGATCCCGATGTCTGGGCGATTAGATTTGATTGTTCTGTCTGTGAGTATTGTAAGGTCCCATCAAAATGTTACAGGTTCCATCCTCGTAACCGGGCCTCTGTGAGGTCCATACCAATTTCTTGCAGTTTTCTTTCCATAAGAGTTGCATATTTTCCAATACAGATAATGGCCCACTCATTCATTCCGCGTTTTAGTGGGTGCTAATACCGTGAAAATTATTATTATTATCTACTTTGACTCCATGAGGCACGGTAGAGTAATGGCTAGCAGCTCAGATTGAGGACTCGGAGAGCCAAGTTCGAATTCCAGTCGAACCCATTACATTCACTTACGTACTAATACCCTTGGGAAAGGTATGAATCCTCTTCTTCTCCCCGAGCTTAATAGGTAAATAGTAAGACAGACCGAGTTTTCTATAGCCTTGGATGGTAACTGGTCCACCGCAGAAAGAAATAACAACATACTGCGTGAAAAAAAAATCCGTCTCTTTCATGTATCTAAACTGGTTAATTTTGATTCATTTCGCATACTCATTTCCTTACGGGTCCCAACCAGAGATCTAAGGTCAGAAATGAAAATTTTTGCGTAAGGAATAAAAAAAAATCTAAAGTCACCCTTCGTTATGCGCGAGCTGCACTTATGAGAACATTATTATTAAACAGAGAAGAGTACGACTTCATAAAAGAAAAGAATAGACAGTGTTTGATGATATTTTCGACAATGTTCACCAGTGCTTCGACAATAGGCTTGTCTTTTTCAGATTATGTTTAAAAATTGCATACACGTATAGAAATATATAAAAAAAGATGTCAGACATAGTGTCAAAGAATTGTTGAACCTTGTTAAACACCGTGTCTTTTCTTTCCTTTTATCTTTTTTTAAATCGCGCTTTTCTTTTAACATTATTATTAATATTGTTATTTGTTGTTTATAGCTGAAAATCTACGGCAAATATTATTTCTTTATAATTAAAAATGATTTCTAGCGAATGAACCTTGTAGAGATACGAGATCCCAACCAATGAAATGTACCAAATGACAAAAACTCCCACCTTGCATGAGGACTTTCAACAACAGCAGCAGCTAAAATGGATGCCACATGTAACTTAGACGACATTGCACAAAGAAAAACGTTAGGGAGGAAGCCACGATCAATACTGGTAAAAGCGATTAACAGTTACTGGAGTTGAGAAAACTATTCGCGCTTAAAAATAAGATTTAATAGAAAATATTACAAATTCTTAACGATGATAGAAATGGCTGTCCGGTAAATGACTGGTAATGTTTTTTTCGAATGAGAAAACGGTTAATGCTACCATTAGTAATGAGAAGAACAGATATAACATTTTAATCCTAGATCAATGGCGAGAGAAGAAAAGCAAAACACAATTATCATATATTGTTCGGTCAAAAGAATAGACAAGGTTTCCTTATTAGGCTAATATTACACATATTGTACCAGATTAAAATTTTGAATCCTTAATATTAATATATATATATATATATATATATATATATATATATATATATATATATATATATATTTGGTTGGATAGATGTGAGTTTGTGACCCTGGGTTTCACGCTTTAGCGATCGTCAGACAAACTGATTAATGTTTTAAAAAATTTGGGTTTATGTAGATTGCGTGTATTGGTGTTATTGTGGAAGTGGTGGGGGAAATTTCGTCGTTTTGTCATTCATCGTACTAACGCAAACATCGATATGCGTATGTATAGATATAACACTACCCGTATACATACATGTGTCATAGCCGAAACTGCCCACATATGTTTATATATGTATGAGTCCCGACGGACGACCAAGTATGTATATGTGTTTGCATACATCGATGTTTGCGTTAGTACGATGAATGACAAAACGACGAAATTTCCCCACCACTTCCACAATAACACCAAATACACTCAAATATATATATATATATATATTAATATATATATATATATATATATATATATATATATATATATATATATATATATATGTTAATATTTATATATATATATATATATTTATATATCAATATATCAATATATATATGTATATACACATTAACACACACACACACATATATATATATATATATATATATATATATATATATATATGTATGTCAAAGAAGTAGACACAAAGAATAAATCAGTAAAGTTAATGTAATTAATGGCGAATTCACTTCACTAACAGATTTAATAAATCATTAACCTACTAACCACGCGGTAAATGACGCCATCCTTGATTTTAAAAATTGTAAAATGGATTAGTTTTCCTTATGTTCCGTATATATGTTAGTATGTTCGATAATTCTTATTATCCTTATAAGGAATGGATATTATTTTTCATTTTCAGGTAAATTCAGGTAACTTCCGAGACGAAAATAAATGTAATACAGGTTTAAATATGTTTTTTTTAAAGACTGATATTATTAAGAGTTTCAAATTGAATTCAATGTGAATTCGCCATTAATTACATTAATTACTTTACTGATTTCTTTGTATGTCTATTTCTTTATAATATTAATTGTACTGCAGCATTTAATAGATATGTAAATTAATATATATATATATATATATA